CGTCAATTTACACCCACCCACAGCAGCAGTGGTCAATTCCAAGGGCACCCACCATCATTCATGAACACAACACCACACCCTACTACACCAGCCTTCCTGCACACACCTCTGCCTGATAAACCAGCAAACCAACCTCAACAGTACCGCCCTGAATGCTACACACTTACACCACGTCACCCCACATCAGCAAACATCATTTTCATACAGACGTGCACTGCTGCAAGATGACACAGAGTGACTGCCCTGTTGCACTATATAATTCTTGATTGTATATTGTTTTCACTGCACGTCAGTTCTGTGCACGGTTGCACTTTATACAGTTTGACCTGTTTTGTGAGTTTATTCTACCTGTACAGTAGTTGTATATAGTTATTGTGTTTTGTGCACTGTTGCACTTTATACCTGTTCAATATTACCTGTTTTTTTTTTAAATGGTTCTTTGACCTAAATATTTATTTTCCAATAAAAAAAGTTCTGGAATTTTTGCAGTCATTTATTTTCACTAGACATATTCAACACAACACTTTCAAAATAATCATTAGTACATTTTCCAAATGTAAATAGTGTAAATACTTAAAAAAAACTGACCAAAATAAGAAAAAAAAAACTTGATGGCCAGCATTTAAGGGTCAAGGTACTTTGTGAGTACTCACCTCACTCTCTTTCCCTCTCCTTCATTACAGTCTGTGAGGTAGTTGTTGCATTGTGTAGGAGGCTGTAAGTCTTTATCACCTTGCATCGTTCCCAACACAGTGTGTTCAGCCACAGTCTCCTTACAGTTTTCACAAAAATTGTGGAGAACAAAGCAAGCGTAAATGACAAAGGGCAGGTCCTGCAAGTTGATGTCCATAGGCCTTTTCAGTGCAGCAAATCTGGCTTTGAGACGACCAAAAGCACACTCAATGACCATCCGTGCCCTACACAAACTTAACCCAAAGTACTGTTCTTGAGGTGTGGAGCCACCGTTTGCATATTCCTTCATCAAGTAAGGCAGCAGAGGGTAGGCTGGGTCACCAAGAAGATAAATTGGTATGTCCTCTTCGTTGTCCACAATCTTTTTTTTCAGAGGAGGGATCTGGCCAGTCTTAAAGTACAGGTTGAGCTTTGAATTAGCAAAAACCCGTGCATCGTGTATACTCCCGGGCCACTTTATCACAACATCCATAAATCTGTACTTATAATCACAGACCGCCTGTACATTGAGAGAATGTTTGCCTTTCCTGTTGATGTAGTCCATCGAGTTGGTAGACGGCTGCTTGATTTCTATGTGTGTGCCGTCGACCGCTCCCAAACACTGTGGCATGCCATGAGCACGATGGAAACGCAAAACCAGATCCTCGGCATCGGACTCCGTAAAAGGCAACTTGATGTACTTTGGACCCAGGTGGACAGCGATCGCTTTACACGTTTGCCTGACAACAACAGACACAGCCTGTCGCGACACGCCGAAGGCGTTAGCAGTCTTCCTTAGCTGTCCCTCGTCGCTCGAATAATAATAATAGTTAACGCAACCCTTTTGAGTGTAGTAATTGGTGCCCTCATGTTTGTTGTTTGCCCTTCAATATACGGACTGAGTTCCTCGCTCAGGGCGATGAGAGATGCTTTGGACATGCGGAAATTCTCCCTCCATTCATCTTCCACAACAACGCCATTGACAAAGTTGTCCCACCAACTGCTAGTTCTACCTGGTCTTATCCAAAATTTTCATCTGGTTGCTCTCCTGGTTGTCTTCCGCGGTGGATCTAAGAGCATGTGGCATAAGGTGTTGTCCATTATCGCTTGTTGCTCATAACAGTTGCATAGAAGCAATAGATTTTGCTGTAATAAAGCTAGTAGGCTTTGTAGCAACACGAACACAATCATGTAGTCCGCCATTATTGTTGTTGCTGTTACGTGTGACGCAGCCAACATGTGACGTGATGACATCACAAAATATATGGATTGGCTGTAAACACGAAACCGCAAGGGTGTCGTTTTCAGATTTATCCACTTTGGGACCCGGTTTCAAAAAATAGCGGTTTCAGTCTCCTAAAACGCTGGATCCGTGTGGACGAAACGCCAATACGATAAAAAATTTCTACGTATACAGCGAAACGCGTCTCCGTGTGGACAGGACCTTAGTCAGGGTTTTTTTTCATGTTTCTATAGTAAGATTTCAGCGAGTTATGAACTAAAATACACGAGACAGATACTCAGCATAATCGCCGACGATGCCGTTGACTCCAGAGGATTAACGCTTAACTCCTTTGTCCCCCTGTCCCATTACAGCCCGAAATAACAAGCCAGCCAAAGCCATGTGAACCACACTTAATATTTTTAACAAAGAAATGTACTTTCTAACGATAAGAGTATATTTTATCTAAACTGGATACATTCTTAACCCTAAACTTTTATTCCATCCATGTATTTATTGATGTGTGTGTTTGTTTGTTTATTTAACCTTTTTCTTTCTTTCTTTTTCTCTTTCTTTCTCTGTGTTTTAGTTTACCTATTTATTTTGGGGGAGATGTGTTCTATGAAGGGAATGCAGAAAGTTCTGTGATAATCTGAGTATATGGATTTGCAGTGTGTGAGTGTACAGGATAAATGTTCATGTATTATGTTTGTTTTTATCAAGAGCAATTGCAGTGTGTCTGCAAAACAAATTACCTCCAGGACAATAAAAGTTACTCTAGCGACATGGGCAGAAAAACAGGCATGGTGGCCACGTGACTTACCTGCCAGCTTCTTCTTCAGCTTCTTAATCTCCTCGTTCAGCTTCTTTGTCTCCTTATCCCTGGCAATAATGCTGCCTCCCCATGCCAAGCCCTGAGGAGCTTGCGAGCATTCTGGAAAAATAAGAACAGGAAGTGAGGAGGCTCCATAGTGATGCAACGAACAGCACTATAAATCATTGTCAATAGATCCCACTGTCTGCAAACAGAAATGTTGACTTTAACAGTCAAATAAGCAGCTATGTATCTGAATGAATCATAAATCCATCTATCCATCTTCTGTAGCCATTTGTCCTATTCAGGGTCACAGGGGGTCCGGAGCCTATCCTGAAGGCTACTGGTGCAAGGCAGGGAACAACCCAGGATGGGGTACAAACCCATCGCAGGGCACAGTCACACACACACAAATGCAGTGTGGTAACTCCAATTCACCTCAGCATGTCCTTGGACAGTAGGGGAAAACTGGAGTACCCAGTGGAAACCCCCTCAACAAAACGGGGAGAACATGCAAACTCCACACACATAAATGCACGGCGGAGACTTGAACTTTGATTTCAGTGGTGTGAGGAAACAGTGCGAACCACTGCATCACCATGCATCAACATAAGGAGATCTTTGTTTCCAGCATATGAAAGATTAGGGCTGGGCTGGTAATGTGGATTATGGAGGGAGTCTATCTACAGGCTGTCTGCAGCCCCAGGGAGGCCCTGAGGAGCTGTGGAGAGTAAGAGAACAGCAGAGCATGCAGGGATTGACGAAGGGACAGACTGACACAGGGATGGGCAGACGCAGGGACAGTCAATTAACCCCCAGGGGAAACTCCAGGAATGACGTGGGGATGTACAGATGTATGGCAGCTACAAGGGCGCCACCTTGCAGCTTGAGGCTCAGCTCCAGTTTCTCCTGCTCCAGCTGGGCAATGCGAGCCTGGAAGCACTGGGCCCCCTGCGCCTTGGGGGGGTCCGTTGCCCGCCATACGCTGCCGCGGTCTGAGAAGCAGCTGTCTGTCGTGTAGGTGAAGCCCACGAAGGGGAGGTGCTGCCCGGAGAAGCCAGCATGGGAGAGCGGGGGTGCCACATCCTATAGAGGGGGGGACACAGCAAGAGGTAAGGTGGGGGGTGCAACATGAAGCCAGCAGAATTGACATGGGGGGATGGGAACGCACTGGGTTCTTGAGAACGTCGTCATCCACATCGAAATTGGACGTGTCGGAGGGCGAGGTGACGTCGGGGATGTAGGGCGCTCCCGTGTTGTGGATGTTCTCCCAGTCTATGCCATTGAAGAAGGGGTGCTTCTTAAACTCCTCAATGCCACTCTGGCCCAGACGCTGCTCATGGCTGCAGATCAGCCGCTGGATTAGGTCCCTGGCATCCTCTGACACGTCTGTAATGTTGGCGGGGAACTGGAAGCGGTCCTGGAGGAAGAAAAGTCATGGACCCTCCCCACTGCACCATGCACCCAAGGGTGCTGATTTGTAGAACAGTCATCATCTGAGGGTGGCCACGAGGTGGGGCAGGCTCACCTCATGGTTCATGATCTTGCCATAGGTCTCCACGAGTGACTCGGCGTAGAAGGGTGTCTCCCCGTACAGCATCTCGTACATGCACACACCCAATGACCACCAGTCGCACTCCAGCCCATAGCTGCCCTTGCCATCTTCCATGGCCTGCAGGATTTCTGGGGAGATGTAATCAGGTGTGCCGACAGCCACTGAAGACTGAACCTATCAAGGAAGGGATGGGGGGGATCACAGTCAATCTGAATTTAGAGCGAATATGAGCACAGCTAACAATCCAGGTCGACTCAGGGTGAGAAACAGCGCTGATGCTGATGATCGCAAGCCCGTGGGCCATGTTCAGGTCTGCGAGAAACCTCTAAGATCAGGTTCGGTCTTTCACTCTTTTACCACAGGGATAAAGATTTTAAAAAACAAAGATGATGATGATGGAAAGCGGTCCCACACCGGCAAGTGGAACCAGTACTGTGTTGGTGGAAAAGAGCTGTGTCTGTGAGAAACAGCCCTGAGTATTCACAGAAGAGGGGGAGAAGAGGAAGGGAGACGTGGGGGAGAAGAGGAAGGGAGACAAGGGGGAGAAGAGGAAGGGAGACGTGGGGGAGAAGAGGAAGGGAGACGTGGGGGAGAAGAGGAAGGGAGACGTGGGGGAGAAGAGGAAGGGAGACACGGGGGAAAGCAAAAGAAGCCAAAATGGAGAAAGTGGTGATAGGCAGAGCATTGAGCACTGAGCTAAGAGGGAGCAGGTGAGGGTTATGGATTACAAGAACATAAGAACACAAGAACATAAGAACTATACAAACGAGAGGAGGCCATTCGGCCCATCGAGCTCGCTTGGGGAGAACTTAACTAATAGCTCAGAGTTG